CATCAGAACTGCTCAAATTTACCTTACAAGCATCAGATTTAGGAAAATATACAGTACTTTTGCATATAATGGTATATTCCTTGTAGCCCCTGAGTCAAGTATAGAGGATTTAAATACAAAAAAGAAAAAAAAAAAGGAAAACCAGCCATTAAAAGCACTTACATTTTTATGTGAAGTAATAGTATAAAAGTATTATTTCCCAGGAAGACCAGGATCAGAAACATGCCTATGAAGACTCAAGATTCCTACAGTGCTTAGTGAAGATTCTGGCAAGGAAGGGTGCCTAATTGGTGGGAGACAAGGTTTACAATGCTGTGGGGGATGCTCTACAGACTGGTCACGTTCTTGGTCTAGAAAAGAAGTCAGGTTGTCTTCTGAGGCTGTGTTCAGATGCACTCCACTTGAGACGGATTCTTTGGATTTAAGTTTTGATTTTTCAACGTCTAGAAATTCAGGACACTGGAAGTGATGAGAAGAAACAAGATGGTAATAATTAAATTTGTCTCTTCCAGGCTCTTGTTCTGCTCAAAATTAGCACATTCAGATGGTTGCTGGAAAACCATCTTTGAAAATTAAGCAGTGTACTGAATTAGGTTTTACATGGTACTGCATTTGATTTAATGTGATGGAATGAAATGTTGTTGATTAATTGTGGAAACCTGCATATCTTTTCCTCTTCTCAGAGCTGCTCATATCATATCAAGATGCACAAATGAACAGCCCTTTCTGAAGGACTGAATTCTCTTGAGACCTGATCTAAGAGTTTGCAGTTTTGTTTCAGAACATAACTCTGGAACTGCAAAATTCTGAATACTATAACAGTTCGGATTCCAGCAGCACACAGGATTTCTTCAATTTTAAAGTTGGAATTTGCGTGAAGTGTGCAGTGTACCTGATGATATTTGCAGGGCGTGGCATATTTCTGTTCAGAGATGTGTATGTATTTTGTGCAGGTGCATGCACAGTGGGTTTAAACTTCTGAAAACTACTACTACGTGTTTGCTGCTCTGATAATCTTAATGCATATGAACTTTTGCCTTCTGGATGTGTTAAACTTACTGTTCCCATATGTATCCCAGCATGCCTATGAGGAATCTGACACAGCTAAGCACACTGAATTTGCTAATTGTATGCTATATGACTGATTTTGGATTCTAAACACACAGAATCCAAAAGTTCGGAAATAATATGCCACATCTGTAAGCTGTTAAAATCCAGAAATCCTGAACAATTTGGGCAATCATCAAATTTTGGCTGAAAAGAACTGGGGTGGAAAACACGTGTTGGGAAATGCAGGTATGTCACAGATCTGTATGTCTGTGTTTCCAGCAATAGCAAGGAGCTGGACACAAGAACGGGTTTAGCCTTTCCACTTCCATATGTGTATAACCATCACGCTGCATCAGCTGGACTTCTCTGGTCTGCACCTCGAGGAAAACATAGTCATGATGCCTCTCAGGACTTCATGAATGGTACCTATGGTAGATGCACCCATGTAAGCAGGTCTGATGCTTGGAAAGTGTTTGTGGTTTACATCCATGTCTAATACTTTTGTTTTCTGCTAGTTTTTGTGAAGAGCATGACAATAAAGCAAATCAGTCTGATTACAAGATCATTGTATGGATTTCTACCACCCTCACAGAAAATGTGGCCTCTGAAACTGTGGTGTCTAAGCCCACTGTGGAGATGCTGGGCCAAAGTAATGATTTCATATTCCTTAAAGTAATGAGCAAGCTCCTAGATTTGTGTGTATTTCTTCCATCATAAGAAAAAGATTAGCAACCCTCTTTTGATCGTTTTAGACAGGTGCTTACCTGAGATGAAGGACTGAAACTTCTATCTGTTTTAATTGCTGCTGCAGGCTGAAGCTTCTGAATCACCCGCATTGCTGGCTGCTGAAACTCTGCACCTGCAGTCACCATGCTATAGGCAGGTGGAATGAGTGCTGACTGCCTTTGCAGAAGTTGCAGAATGGTTTGGATATCAGCAGTCATTTGAGATTCAAGCCTAGAGAAGTTACACAAAATCAGTTAACTCATGGCCAAGAATAGGTATATTTTAACATACTGATTACAGAGGCATTCAAGAATGACCTGCAGCTTACTAATAAAACTATTGCTTATTTTAGCATGACCATGTCTTAAATAGAACAGTAGAGGGAGTACTGAGCCCTTCCAAAGCTTCTGGCTCTCTCTTTCCTTTGCAGAACGCCGGCATGCTACATTAAAGATGAGTTCATCACTGTGCCTTATGTTTGCAACAAGATACAACGCTGGGGCCAGGCATTTGATTGAAATCAATTGGAATAAATATATTATCTTCATTGTAACTAAATTGATTTGTACTGGCTGAACATGGGACACTATTCTTGATGCATCTGACAATTCTGACATCCTCAATGCTAATACAATGCACTGAAATAAGCAGAAATCACATTTGTGTGTTTACATGAAAAATGAAAGATGCGTTCAAGGTGATTAAAAATCCAACTGTTTAATTCTCCTTGTTGCGAAAATTTATTCAAATTTACTCTGGCCTCAGAATAAATGTCAGTATTTCTGATGTTCATATTTTGTACCTTTTGAATTTTTTCCCCCCTTTTAAAAAATTTATATATGACTTCTGAAACACTTGAGCTGCTTATGTTGTTCATACTTCAAATCCATAGCACTGAAATAGCTTTCAAATGGTCTTGCCAAAATCCATGACAAACTCAGGAATAGGTAATGCCTATTGTGCCTCCCCAGCTGCTGGAAGGCTACAGCACATGCTATGACAGATATACAGCCTTCTGTACTGCAACTCAGCTTCTGACAGAGTAAACAAATCTTTGTCAGCAGCCTTTAATGTTGTGAATGTTACTACTCAGGCTCCCAACAGCAGCAGAATTGATCCTGTGCTGACAGATTTTTGTGCTTGCCAGGTGCTTCACTGATGTTATTTTTTATCATGTTGGAGTTGTCCATTGCCTGTGCCATTTATTTATAAAAGCATCTGTGAAATTTATCTGAAAGGTATGCCCAAAGGATATTTAGGATGCTGTTTCTTCCTTTATCGGGAAAAGCTGGTTTAGTGGCAACAGCTCATATAAAGAAAGGCCCAAACCAGACTAAATGTTAGAGTCAGTTGTGCGTCAGTTGTGCCCTACGTGCCCTCTTGTTCAGCGCCACTGAGTTCTTTGCTACTTGCAAATGTGCTGTTCTCACACAAGGATGGTGCTGATGCCACAGGGGGAATTACTGCAGCAGCAGCAGAGAGCTTCTGTCTGCTAAACCTGAACGTTAAGGATTCAGTGAATAAAAGGTAGCATTGGAGAATGTTGGTCCATGATTGACTTTGAGTTAACTCTAACACTGCTCCCTTCTTACTTTGTTAGCACTTGATGGAAGTTTCCTGGTACTTCAATGAGTACCTCTGGTAGTCTTTTTTCATCATGATTGCATATAAAACTCTTTCCATTCTCCAAAATTTAAAACAAATCCACATCACGCCACCCAAACAAACAGGGAAACCTTAGATGCTTGGCCCACAGTCTCCATGAAATTTCAATTGTTTAAGGAGGAGAAACAGAGATAACTCTAGGGACATATTCCTTTTACAGCGGCTTTCCAGCCCTTTGTGTCTGTTTAATAATTGACTGTTACGCTAAACCTCTAACTTGGCATGGAAAAGTTCAGGAAGAAGTGACCACACTATTTAGTCCATCAGGTCAGGTCTGACATAGGCAGGAAACAATATTGTCTATTATATACATAGAAGACCCAGCAAGACCAAAAATCCTGAAAAGCTTTAAAAACATGAGAAGAGTTAAAGAATAAAATGATTTAATAAAATCCATAGCAATTTAATTCTTGGTTTATCAGAAACAATGATATTTTGTTACAGAAGAAAATACTGAGAACTTGCATGAGAATTTCATAACACTATGGGTAAATTTGAGATATAACTTCTGTTTCAAGAGCTTAAGATTTCAGGAAATTAAATGTAACCAAAAGACTACATACTGTTGATGGGGAACCTATGGCTCTTTAGCTATGTGACATTTACAATTACTTAGAATACTTGAATTTACTGCAATTGGAAATTACAGCAACTTAGGCTTACATGTTAAAAATTACTTCTTAATGTACTACATAGTATTCAGAAATGGAAAATACTATGGTTTGATTGGCTTCTGATAGATGAAGGAAGAAATATGCAGTTAACCTGGCTTTAAACTGATTGCTGAAAAATACAGCACAGAATGCCAATGAAGAACTACTAAAGTATAATTAGGACTGAGTGTGTGTCATAGTATTTGTCATGGAAAAATATTGAAAACAATGGAATTGTAGAATAAAGATAATTAAAAAGCCATAGTCCTGAGCATAGGGCAACTTAAAGTTACATGGTAAATTACAGTGTAGGATGGATCAAAATTCTGTAGCCATATTTTTAAGATGCTCTAAGATATGCTGCTTAGCTGCCAGCAAAGAGTAGTGTATCAGGATTATGCAAAGGTAATACTGGATTCTGACAAAGAAAGCATCATTTTCTCCTGTAACAGGTTTAAGTATTTTGTCTTTGCATACTCCTATGTCTTACTTACTATTATAGAGTTGCAAAAGGAATGTATCTGCAATACATTTTTAATGGAGGCAACTGATGTACTCTGTCTCTCCAGGAAAGAAAAAGTACTTCAGATATTGAAGATACTGAAAACTGTCATCTTGTGGACATGTAAATATCTGGTGTCCCTGCCCAGAGCAGGGGGATTGGAACTAGATAATTTGTAAGGTCCCTTTCAACCCAAACCATTCTATGATTCTATGATCTAGGAACAGCATTCTGGATGAGGTGATAAATAAATTTAACAATTTTAGGTGCCCCAGTACAGCTTCTTGGTTAAAAAAGATAATTTCCTAAACAGTCTATCAAGGAAAAAGGCTCTTCTGTAAGGGAATTCAGAGTAGCTAATGTGGGTACTTAGAGGTAAGAGACACGAATATTGTGACAATGGAATTAAATATTTTGTACCCAGAATTCACAGAATCAGTTTTTCCAAGAATCTGGAATGCTTAACTTAGATAATATTTAGGCTTCTCGGAATGCATATTGGCAACAAAGTGATATTCCCATCAGACACACTTTTGAGCTTCTGAAGATGTGAACGCTTTTGGAAACTTCCAACACAAACTTATTCCTCCAGTAGTGTCAGCAATATCAGTTGTATCATGTACTCTTTCACACATAGGTTTCTTTCTGGTCATATCTCTGTTTTTACCTGTTGAGTTGTTCTTGAAGTAAATCTAATCGATTCTCGACTTCCCCATATATAAAATCACTTTCAGTTTCACAGATCCCCCATGTAACATGGGGTAATGCTGGTTGAATTGTGGAGTCCTGGTACTCCTGGATGTTCTCCTGCTCCCAGTTTCTTTTATCGGAGATATCTGATCAAAAATAAAGAATAAATTTATTCTCTCAAGCATCCCACTTGTGTTTCTCAAACCTTGATAGTCAAATAGGTACATTGGCACATTGACTGAACAACTCTCTTTGCTCTTATTACTATTTAAGGAAAGCTAAATGGGGTCACATCCATCCCAACATTTTGAAGCCATAGATAAACAAACAGCAAGTCAGCATCATCAGAGTTCTACCACTGAATGGCTCCTCTTTCTTTCGTTTTATTTCTATTACTTTACCAATGAATACCCAATTTTCTCAAGATGTTTTTTTAGCAATTTGGTATTCACTGAAATTAGAAATATTTGTTCTAACCTAAATGCATTAAATGATGTACTTGTATGTCTTTGTGCATTTCAGAGACCTGACTAAGACCACTTCTCTTGCCCTTGAATGTGCTATTGAAGTGTATTTATTGTTTAGCTTTTTTGGTGTAAAAGAAGGACTTGCTGCATTGCATTTACAGCACTGGACATGTGTTACAGTGCATTGGGATGCCCCCTCTACAGAGAGGTGCCAGGCCTCAGCTGGCTGCCTTTCTTACCAATAACTGCAACAACAGTTGTCTTAGCAAGGTTGGTGAAATGTAGTATGTTTTCTCTGAGACAGGGGCCATTTAATGCAGCTCATCCTTGCAAAAGGAGACTGGTTATTATTTTCAGAAAGGAAATTGATTTTCATTGATGTAGCTTTTAGCATCACTACGCTCCAACAATCCTTATGTGATTGTGGAAAGCACATCTCCAAAACTCTTACAGTACTGTGGGGTGAAAGTGCCTGTTCATTTTGTTTAATAATCTGGGAGTCCTATAAGAATGAAATATGCGGTATTGTTGGGTCAGTCAGAGATCACTTTAACATTAAATGAAGCCTCGAGGTAAATAATTATTTTCTTCTGTTTGAATTGCAGATAAAATTTTGTATTAAGACAGGGAAAATAAATTTATTTCAAGTTAAAAAATTCCCAGTTACATTATTAGGATTTTACTGCAGAGTTTCATCTATCTTGCTGAATTTAGTCACCTTTCTAAGCCTTATATATTTTATGTACAATATATGAAATATTAAAAAACATTCTTTATACGAGGCATTTATATTTATTTCTTTGTCTCCAGCCCTTTGTATAAAAACAAATAAGATGATGAATACTCCGGGTCTCACCCTATACCTTCTGTGCACAAATTCCATCCCTCTTGAACCTCCCAGTTCTTGCATCTCTCTCACTGCACATTACCACCAAACAGAACTCAGGGACACTTCTTCCTTTTGCTGGGACGTCTGGTTTGAGTTATATCTCCTTCCTCTTTCGTTTTGTTTAATTTACACCTCTGTGGATTTACTAGTTTGCATTCTTGGCTCTATCCCCTTTCTCCTGTTCACCAAGCTAGTGAAAGGTTACACATCATTTATCATGGGATATACTAGCTGCACTTATCAGACAGAATGAAGATCTTGCTGTGAGCTTTGCAGAGCCTACAGGTGTCATACTTAGGTTCAACAATGGTGTTTCTACAGCTCCCCTTGCCCTGATGAGCCTTTGTTTACTTGCTCAGTACCACCCATTCTTCTCTGCTGTGATAAAAAAGGCTGTTTAAGTTTTAACACCTGCTCAATACAACTCCCATTAGAGTTGTATTTTTAATTATTTAATTACATGAAGTTACAGAACATATTAAAGTTCTTACTGTGCTCAGGTTGCTGCTTCAGCACACAGCTGGACAAAATCCTTGACTGCTTATAAGACAGCAGTTGGATTTGAATCCCACATCGGTCCCTGAATGGTTTGCTCAGATCTTCTCCTAATACTTCTGTTGGCACTACATGGTGATAACTTAGCATAGGTTACATTCATTTCACACTTGTGAAATTTTTCTAAGCAACCATTGCGGCCAGAGTCATGTTTTAAATAAACAGAAAAACCCCATGGTGTGGGTAACATGTAAGAGCTTTGTCCAAATGCTAATAGCTAATCTTTTTCAAAGATGTCTTTGAACAGTGTTGCTCTAAGTAAAGAGAAATGGAAATATTAGTTCCTGCTCATAGTTAGTATTTCAAGTAGATTTAGCCAGGAAGGGGAGCTCTCACTACATGACTCCAAGTGGAAGGGGAGACTTTCTTTTCTATCTATCTATCTATCTATCTATCTGCCTATCTATCTATCTATCTTAATCAGAGAAAGGTGGTTATTGCATTATCAGATCTTTGGTTTGCAGGAGGTTAAGATTTCCTAGAGCTGTACATCGTGTTTGAATTTTATGTGACATGATCTATGACTGATTTTATGAACTGGGCAGGAGGAAGGGGAAAGAGATTTCATCTTGGCTACACAGAAACCTGTTCAGTTTTACAGTCCCTTAAGCCAACAGAAGGAAAGAGGTAAAGGGTGTCACAGAAGCATGTAACTTAGTTTTATGAGGGGCATATCACAATTTGCAGTGTCCTAGGAAAAGTTGGAAATGCTCTCAGCCAACTGCAGGGAGCAGAGTATGACAAATTCAAGGGTGAAATTTTAAACTGTGGGTGTAGGTGCAATGGATGTTGTAAATCCAGTGGACTTATAAGCAGTGAATTTCATGAGCATTTCACCGCTTTTCAATGTCCTGTAAAGACCAAGATGTTGGTTGTATTACACAATAAATCATTCAATACAATCACAGATTTTCAATGCCGTAGATTATCCCAGGGAAATCAGTTGGGGCTTTTTTGTCCCAAAATATGTATTTGGAGACTATTATAATAGACATTTAATTTGTGAGAAAGCAAATGAATTGTCACTGAAATTACAAAATAAGTTCACACACTATAAGCAAGTTAATAAACTGTAACATATGGTATTATACTGATCTAGGTGTCTTTTTGGGTACTTCCACATATGTAACTCCAGAAAAGCCTGGCAACAGTTACAACTTTATAACCAGCTATGGTCTTCCAGGGCTTGAAGAATCTTAGACTGAGAGCTAAGTCAATACATGTGTAACTAGTTTCACTTGAACAATTAAAGAATCAGTCTTATAGCCCAAGTAACGCCTAAGTGAAAAAAGCATTTTTCCTTAACATATAGCTAACAACTGCAGAAAAATTATCAGGTCTTCACAAAAGAGCTGTATCTTTTAACATTAAAAGTTGCATTTTAGGATTATGAGAAAGATGTTTATACTGTTTCTGCCCACATTATATAAATTTTTAATAGTCTTTCCATTCATTGAAGTAATGAACAAAGCTTAAAACGAAACAAAAGGTAATTAAATATGTATCAGTCACAGTGCTAATGAATTGGAGTAGCTTTATACAAGTGCATTTGTATCCAAGATTTATAAGGTACCATAATATATGAGGATACATACAAGCAAAGTTTATTTCCAAATTTCATTATGTTTGTGACTACTCCTATGGTAAGTTATAATCAATCTGTAATTAATAGCAGGAGTAGGAATTTAGTTTAAAACATGTATCAGTCAAAGCTAATCTTACTGACCTTGAAGTTTTTATGAAAGTTGCAAGAAAGCTCATTACCTTTCATACACATTACTAGAAGCGCTAAATTACAAAGTGGAAAAAAGAATGTGGTCTTAATCAAGATATGTAACCTTTAGACATGATAAATTTAGCTCAAATAAAATCTGCAATAGGTTGCCTTGGAAAATGTTGCTATAGCTGCAAGGACACATTTCTGGCTATTGGGAGGGGAAAGGTAACCTTTCCAGTTGCAGTACGTATGTGGCGCAGTTTTATAGAGCCTTAACTTGAGGAGAACAGACTTCACCACCTACTCATACCTCTGAGATATAAAAAATACATTGTTTGGTCTAATTATTCATTAGGCTTATTTTAAATGATAGCCTAAAAGCCTAAGGTTCATTGAATGATGGCTAAATGGTTAAATTGCCTCAATGGAAACTGCTGGGGGAAACAGCATTAAACAATAAATATGTAATTCTTCTCTTCAGACTGAAACAATTACAAATGAACTTGCAGCAATATTTAAACTGTGTATTAATCCAGGAGTTTTCATTAATTTCCTTTCACGTCACTGAGACAATTAATATTTTAGTATATTAGATGTAATTTTAATTATGTGATTTAACTCTATGTAAAAGTATCTGAGATTGCTTAATAGTTTCTGATCATTTGTCATATACAAAAGCTCAAATCCTTGTTCTTATGCCTTATGGAAGTTGGGATTTGTTCTGTGTGATGTAATGGCACTCCTTTAACCAACACATATGGCAAAATGGGATAGCATTCTTTAAAGATATTATGAAATTTTTTCACTTAATTTTTGTTGTGCCTTGTTAATGCAGCAAATGACACTAGTTACCTGAAAACACTATATTGGTGCAGTGCAACCATTGCTAGGTTTATCTAGCTCTCATTATCTAGAATCCTTTAGTGTCATCCAACCCCAGCACATAAAACACACTGTGATAGATTCTTTAGTCCTTTGAGTGCAGTTTTCATCCATGGGCACTCAGTGAAGTCCAATACCAGTGGACAATTTTAAAGAGTTTGTTTAAATTACTATCCTAAAGTAATTCAGTTACAAGATGATTTATTAACAAAACCTAGAATGGCCTTTTGGAGGTTCTGTAATCCAGTCCCACAGCCACTGTATTAAACTGCATCAATCCTCTTGATAAATAATAATTTTTGATCTAAAATATTTTTTCTTGCTAAGCTTCCAGGAAACACAAAAGTAAATATTATGTAAAGAATCGATAGAACCATTCAGATATTTGTTAATCAGACTGAAAAAATGTCTGCTCAAACTTTGCCAAATAGCAACAGCTGGATTACCTTTGCAAGAATTGCTTCTTTTATCAATAAAAATTTCTTCTGTGTCATGATCCATTTCTTCGAAGTCCATCTCTGTGGTTTTCTCTGTTACAGACGGGTAATCAGCTATCCCAGAAAACAGGGGCTTTTGCTCATCTTCAATGGAGGACACAAAAGATGAGGAACCACTTTTTTTCTCTTCAAAATGTTTCTTAATAGATTGATAATTTCTGGTGGTGTCACCTGAGGGCTCAGGATCACTCTGATCATTCTCTTTGAAATAATCTGTGAAGCAGAAATAATGATAAGCAGGTCATGAAATTGTATTCTAGCTCATTACGATCTGAGGATGGACATGATTATTAGATCATGTAGGAAGTTCACTGCCTATTAGAATAAATAATTTTAAAGCCTTTTTTGGACTCTTCTATCAGAGAAATTTTGTATTTCTGTTGAAGTCCTAGAAGACATTTGCATGTATGTACTAAGGATTCGTAGTCTGTAAAACATAACTCATTTTGCAAAAAGTTGCTTGTATCCAAACAGCAAAGACTTTATCGAACACAGTCCTCCTGTCTTTTTTTTTTTTTTTTTTTTTTGTGTGTGGTGAGGATATTTGAGGAAGCCTTACATTCCAAATTTTGGAAGAAATCAATTATGTCATTCCCTCATCCAGTTTCTCACATTTTTGGGGCATTTTTCACAGTCTTGACAGGCTAAGAGTCATGCATGTTAGACTTGGTATCAGAAATACTCATTTAAGTTATGCCTACATGAGAGTGTCTTTGCTGATTATTCTTTTCCTGAAAAAGTCATATGTATTAATCAACCATTCATCCCCTAAATGTCTTGGCTACCTAAACAGAGAGCATATTTCTCCACACTTATTACAAGATTGCTATGGTAGAGAGAAACCCTGTTTCTTTCTGTACCATATGGCACAAAAAGAAGGGAGCTCCTTGTCTGACTTTGTAGGATCACCTCAAAGCAACTTTCCAAAGTAGCCCAAATTCCTTAGCCTTTAGAATTAGTTGCAATTCTCTGAACATCCAATCTTTTGAAGAAGAGCACACAACATACTGTGATATATATATATATATATGGTAGCAGAGTACCAGTCAAGTTGAGAATGAATTTTTCATTAATCATATTCAGGGTCTGTACTGAGCAACACCATATTCAGTCCTCTTAAGAAGTGGCAAGTAAGTCTAGATTTAAAGCAGATACTTTTAAAAAATAGACATTGTAGAAATTAAATAGGATTTAAACCCAAGAGCGATCATTTATGAATAAAAAGAAGTCTTGATCTCTTTTCAGCATAAACTTGAAGCTAATTTCCAATTCAATACTTGGTTTTACCTAATTTTAACTGAAATGTCAAGACAATTTCAGTTCTGCTATTTATTTAAAACACATTTTAGCAGGGTAGTCTCAACAACATATAAATACTGTAACTAGTTTGCGTTAACTTCCTGGGGAGACAGCATGATTTCCCATCTGCTTTGTGCTAATTACTAATCAACATAGCTCTGGAATGTCTGTAGTCTTTACAGCCTACAGCAATGGCTAATGCAACATTTAGTATATTCCCTAGGTTTCTTCTCTGTTTTCTGGTCACTGTAAGGAAATGAAACTGTGGCCTCATCTAATCCTCTTTTATCTGCACATAAATGAATGCAATATCTGTAAAGAGCATCCTGCAAGGGTCCAGACATCTGTGAGCAATGAGGGCAGGTAATGGGGAACAAAATAAACCCAATAACAAAGCAGACCTCCTGTACCTGTACTGTCTAGAGTCTCAAGGGTGATTAACACCATCCTGGTCTGAAATGACCTCACTATCCTTCTGTTAAGCAGGACTACTGGCTGTAAGTGATACTAGTGATACTCTGTTACTGCAAAGGTGTCAACACAACTGCAAATGGGCTGGTACCAGAAAGTACTTGGTGGATGCTCAGACTGGAGAGTCAAGGGCCATGTTCCCTCCAATTCCATCCCCAAAACAATACAAAAGCAAATGAAAGCTTCGTAAGAAAATTATATTGTAGATGTCTCCCATGGCATTTCTTGTAGGAATATATGGTGACAATACATAGAGTCATGCTGCAGTAAATTGTCTTAATTACTTACTATTTGACTGACTTCAACCTGTGAAAAAGACCTTCTAATAGGAGCTTGAAATTGCCAACTTTTAGGGTAATTTTTTATATTCATAGGATTTTTGTACTAACGGTAGCTGTAATGAGCACTCTATGGGATACAAATCAATCAGTGGACTAATTTTAAGGAGAGACCATTGACATACTAGTGAAAAAATTGTATAGCAGCTGAACTATAGCAGACTGTCTTATCTGTCATATTCATTAAATACTAAAATATCTAGAAACATGAAGCCAGATTCTGCTAATAATTGCACTTCTATAAACCCAAGGAAATTCAATTGATATCCCTGCATTTAGTTTCCATCTATATCAGAATAACAGAACATGTTATTTTCCAAATGCTGTCCAGGTACAACAAACTCACTGGCATGAGAAGGAAAGCAGAGATCTGTTGATAGGTCCTGCCTATTGAAATCAGGAAAGATTTGTTCATCAGCTGATCTATTTCAAAATAGACATCTTTGGCTTTACTGCTGTTGCTTTATCTGCTAGCCATCTGGCAACACTCAGAAACTCAAAAGCTGCTTTCCTTTTAAAAGACTCATATTTAATGCTAAAGATTCATCTGTCTGGAGGATAATCTTGTGATATTCTGCACCTAGAGTATGAATTAAAATAGAAACTGCTCTTTTTTATTGACTCGTCAAGACTTGATGATGGTGCAAGCTCTGTACCTCAGCTCAACATCTTAGCAGTGCCTCTGTAGCTCAGTGGAAAAAAAGTTACAAATAATATCTAGGTAGTGCTTTATTCAGAATGTGAATTTCCCCTATTTCTCCTTCCTTTTGTAATGAAATCCAGTCACTGGTTTGGAATGAATTTTCTTGATGTGTGTGTCTGTATGGATAAGCTCACTTTCTGTCACACAGACTCTAGGTTTCAAAAGTTTTCTATTTTTTCTTTCTATTCTGCTTCCCAGTGTAATCATTACCAGCCTCCCCCTTTCTCTCCTCCTCTCCTTCCTCCAATTCAAGTGCTTCCTCTTTTGTTTTCCAGTAATATGAGTTTCACTCTGATTCTGATTGCTGTTTTACTGAAGATGATTATTTTGCAACTTCCTGCTTTACCAAACATAAACAAACATCATTTACACTCTTTATGGGATTTGTTTTAGGCTGCTATGGGTTTTGGGTGCCTGCCGAGTTTACAGTCCTCTGACACTTGCTGTCTGGAAATTCCAAAATCTTCAAAGTAATTATCAGAAGGTTTGTGTCCTGCTTTTTGTGCGTGCACTGGCAAAAGAAGGGAAGAAGTGGAGTTGTCATAGGTCTGTGTCATATAGCTATGACATTGACTTATAGAAATACTGGCATTAAAATCCAGCTGTTAGGATGGTTACCAGAGATCAGACTGGTTTCTTTTGTGTGCCATGGTCTGTATATTGAACTTTTGCAATATTCAGACAGTGCCAGTCTGCATGATCCAGACACATTTTCTCTTAATGTTGCAAACAATATTGATGAAAGAGACAGTAATACATGTGGAGCAGCATTGTTTAATATTGCTATAATTTCATTAACTGGAATTTGTCATACTTAATCAGGTTATCTATACAGCCTAGTGTTTCAGAAGGTGTCAAATTTTTACTCCCTGTTCAGCCATCCAATAAAAAGTCCCATAATATAACTAGACAAATTCAATTTTGTGCAGGAAATGAGTGAATTACTTCCTCATTCCCACAGAAAACAATTCGTATTCCAAACCATAAAACAGAAAATCCTCACCATTAACATGATCTGCATAACTATAAATCTGTTCAGCAGACATGACATCTTCCTTTTCCTTTGAAAAAATCTACCATATTATTTTACACTGCATGACGTGCATCCTTTGGTAAGGAGAAAGGCACATTATCACATGGATGGAGGGATGGTTAATGGTTCAAAAGGTCTGGAGTTCTTCAGATTCTCAGCAAGTATTTTTGTTCAACTGTTACAAACTCTTTATTGTGTGACATTTGCAAGTACTCTTGTGGTGATCAGTCTGTCTTTCTAGGTATGAACAAAATATTTGCTAGTTATCATGACAATTAATTGTCATCATGACCATTTGCTATCTGTTCTTTGCCCGTTACTTTGTCAGCAGAAAAATGCCTTATGTATCCACCCATGCACCATGGGCGGAAAACATTTTGAATGGAAAGTCAGTGACCAGTTCACAAAATCACTGCTTTTCACTTAGTGGTGTACAAACATTAAAACTGATACATATTAATTATCTAATATCAAAAAGTACTGGTACTGTGGAACAGGACCAATACAAAATGAGGGGCGATTCTGGAGAAGTCTAACAAGTTGTACATAGGCTAAACTACTCTATAGAATGCCAATCAGGGAGTTCAGGATCATCAAACTGCTAATTAAAATGCAGCTTATTTTTTGCCTTGCTGTTTGCTTCGTACTTAGTTGAATGTGATTGGTATGGAGTACATTGCTAAATATAGCTGAGTGCCTTCTGATAGAATGGCTTATGGAAGAGTATCGAAAAGGAGGAAGCTGACTGCTTGTAAACATGAAAATGGAAAACAAATCAGTGTCTGGTCATTCAGTAGATAAGTGTTGCTATGGTGAAGGAACATGGTGAACACATGTTCCTTTATTTAAGAATAAAAGAAAAATGGTAATTTGTGTTCATGTAAGATATATTATTATAAAAAGTAAATACTTTTATGAAATATATGTATACATATACATATATATAAATGAAACATAAGACTGCAAACAGTCTTACTGCAAACAGGATGAGGAACTTTAGTGGATTTATTTTTCAATGGAAGAAGGACAAGATCCACAGAGTCCTTAAAACGTATGATGAGCAATAGATAAAATTCAGGACTTCATTTTGTATGTAATATTTGAAATGGCAGCTACTCCACTTCCGCTACCAGAAAATTTGTCTGAAAACTGATTTTGGTCTTGTCTATAGAGATAATTTCATACTTCTCAAACATCAGAAAGTACTATAACTTACCCTGAATCCACTTAAATAAACCTAAGACATTTATAAACCTTGAATTTTAGTGCTTGAGCTCTTGTCTCTCAGAATCAACTTCGCCTACAGTCAGCCTCAGAGTCCTGACGCTGCATATCGTGACATCTGGAAGTTTGTCAAAGCCATTCTCAA